CAAAAATCTGATTTTTATACCGACTTTGAAGTTGAAGGGGGCTAACTCTAGGAGTCTTTTTAGAACTCATTCTTTTTTCTGGATTTTGAACAGTAAAACGTACTTCTCGCAATCTACCTCGCTCAAAAAGTTTAAATGGATCATTCCAAGTAGGTAGAAGTGCGAAGAAGTAATTAGAGGCGCGACGAAGTCTAAAGCTCCTCAGGTACTTCCATAGGCATAAGCGGCAAGCCTTTGCTGCCTCCTGCCCGACCGCCGAACTTGGCAGCCAGATCAGATTCAAATTTGGAAAGGTTTGAGTTAGCAAATTCAGATTTAAGGATTCAAATAACTTCAAAGATAAACTGAAGACAAAGAACTATACTCACCACACAAAATGTCAACAATACAGATATGTAGGCTATAAAAAATGGATTCCTTATCGCCTCTAGAAGTTCCTCCATCAGTATTATTACCTGAAAGGCAATATTTTCAGTGGAACATACCAGACACTACAGACAGCAAACAGATGCATTGTCACAAAGTACAACTCTCTGCAAGCACTTCTAAATTCCAGAATTTCGAGTTGAATTGAAATTCTACAGACTCCAAGTCGATCTTTGGACTGGCTCGCTGCCAGAGCTTTCGTGCTCGGACCGATGCGGTCGCTCGGGCGCGGCAAAATCGTTGAGTTCGAAGTTGTGCGCCATTTTGTAGCACAGGACAATTTTGTTTATTCTTCTTGTCTAGTGTTGTGCTTTCCGCCCACTCATACGTATGATTCAACTGTTCTATTCGTGCTGTCCTAACTCCTTTCATGCGAATTGCCCTTCTTCCACTTAACAAGCACTTTTGTTTACTTGGCAATAACAATCGTTGTCTTAAGTAACGTATTTTGTCGCATCGCTATGCTGTAAGATTGTGTAGGACTCTGCAGATACAATAGATAGAACGTACCTAAGCTAGTGCACAGCGACAGTTGGGAAGCGTCAAATCTGATCTAAATCCTTAGGGAAAATCTAATTCTACGCTGTAGTTATAATCTTCTCACATCTTTTCTATTTCCTGGTGGGTTTACGCATGCATTGAGAGCAGGACACGAGACAGTTCTGGAGGGACAGGAATAAATTTTCACTTATAACAAAGGGAGCGGAATTCACTCATACTGCGGTCGTAGTTGCATGCGAACTAGGAGTGAAAACAGTCTCTACTCGTGGCTACTCGAAAGTGAAGGCAAATAGTGAATTGAAGACGTTTTAGTGATGGCGCGAGTAAACATCTTCACCCTTCTAGATTTCGGTCATTGCTGCAAAATATTGTTCTCTGAGCGATCGTTGTTGGTCTCTGGAAGTGTGTAGGGACCAATCCACTAAGTGTTTGTCTTTTACCATACATGGGAACAGGAGGTTGAAAAACGCTTTGAATTTAGCAACAAAAAAAACGTGGAAACAATACGATCACACTTGTCGGGCTTGAGATTAGGTGATAAGATAAAGCAGGGGCTTGTCTGTATGTGTTTCACTCCTCACTTTCTGAAAAGGACTGCTTTGACCCAGGGCTTTTCCTCTTTCCCGTTGTTTTCAATATAAAAATCCTTTTGCTAGTTCACTTTGGTCAATGGGCAATTTACAGAAATCGTTGAAGATTGTGATGAGTTTGAAAGGTTAGAATTACTAAAATACTTGAGTAGTGTCGACCTTATTGAGAAGTAGCTAAGCCAGCTTCAAAAGCCGATACAGCGGTTTTGTTCCAAAATGTATCGCATCATACGCACTAAGCGCACACCTTTCGAAAATAGCTGGGCACCGATGTTTTTTTGCATCTTACTTTTGTCGGAAAGCTCAGAAAGATAAATCATCGAAGCAGATGTCATCGAAAGTTCGTGCATTCTGATCCAGTTGTAGACTGTGCCGTTATTTTCACCTTCTATAAATCTTATTTGCCTTTTTTAATTCTAGCATTCATTTTTAACCTGTATCCAATCACATCTCGAATTTCATCGGCAATAATTGCTTGAATTTGGCTATCTCTTTCCAGTACCAAACATGGTAGAAGCCAGCGATGGAAGCATGGAGGAGAAGGTCATCAACGAGGAGTACAAAATTTGGAAGAAAAACACTCCATTCTTGTATGACATGGTAATGACACACGCTTTGGAATGGCCAAGCTTAACAGTACAATGGTTACCAGATATACAGAAGGTATGAGGTTTTTGTCAGCCTTCATACACTAGATTTTGCTTCACGTGAGCCTACTAATTTTTACTGAAGTTCATGATTTTAGGCGGAAAATGGTGATTACACTACACAGCGACTGATTCTTGGAACTCACACATCAGATGAGCAAAATCACTTACTAATTAGTAAGATTCAGCTGCCGACTGATGACGCTCAGTTTGATGCCTCTCGATACGACACTGAAAAAGGAGGTCTGTTCGTAAAAGCGACCATCAAGAGCGTGAGTTTCACTGGATTCCTTCTAGAGTTCGGTGGCTTTGGTGCTATTACTGGTAAAGTGGAGACAGAAATCAAAATCAACCATGACGGTGAGGTCAACCGAGCGCGGTACATGCCACAAAACCCTGTTATAATCGCGACGAAATCGCCTAGCGCTGAGGTTGGTTGTTGTCGTGAGGAATGAATCTGTCCAAATACTTTATTTTTTCTGTCAAGGTGTTCGTTTTCGACTATACTAAGCACTCTTCTGTGCCAAAGGATAATCAGTGCAAACCACAGCTGCGACTTCGTGGACACACTAAAGAAGGTTATGGACTGTCATGGAACCCAAACAAACAAGGACATATCCTTTCCGCATCTGATGATATGACAGTATGTTTAACCGTTATTTGAATTACCCTCATGTAACCTCTGTTTGTTTATGTTAGTTAATCTATCCTAAAAGCTCATTGGAATCGTGATCCAGGTCTGCCTCTGGGATGTACAAGCAAACGAAGTCAGTGCTGGATACTTGGATGCAAAAACAATTTTCAAAGGTCATACTGCGGTAAGTATCTGTTAATTTTCTTCCTGCATTCACTTATCATCTATCGAGAATTGATCTTTTCCAAGAATTGTCGTCAACATGTTGCAGTTGAATTTTGGAACGCTTAGGTTTTTTTCTGTTTTTTTTTCCTAAATTACGGTATACAACACATCCCAACAGCATGAATCTTTTTAGGTGGTTGAAGATGTTGCTTGGCATGTGCTGCATGAAGCAGTATTCGGCTCTGTTGGTGATGATCACAAATTGATGATCTGGGATATCCGTGGAAGTCAGCCAGCACACACTGTCGATGCTCATTCAGCTGAAGTCAACTGCTTGTCGTTCAATCCTTACTCAGAGTTTATCCTCGCCACTGGAAGTGCTGATAAGGCAAGTTTCTGGTGGTTTAAAGTTTCAATCCTTCAAAATCTGCTTGTATGAACGGTGAATTGTTTAGACTGTTGCCCTATGGGATTTGCGAAACATGAAACTCAAATTGCATTCATTTGAATCGCACAAGGACGAAATCTTCCAAGTCCAATGGAGCCCGCATAATGAGACTATCTTGGCTAGCAGCGGAACCGATAGGTTGGTAATTATGCATTTTATTGAATTTCACACGAATAAATCTTGCAGGAGGCTTCATGTTTGGGATCTATCGAAGATTGGCGAGGAACAGATTCCTGAAGATGCTGAGGTGACTACTTTATTTTTGGGACATTCGACATATATTTGCTTTTGCTTTCAGGATGGTCCACCTGAGCTTCTTTTCATTCATGGTGGTCACACAGCAAAAATTAGCGACTTCTCTTGGAATCCTAATGAGCCATGGGTAGTATGTAGCGTTTCGGAGGATAACATCATGCAGGTTTGTCTTAGGTTACATCATACTAAATTTCGCTCTCAGTTGTATCTCTCTGATAACAGATAAGCATAGATCTATGTACTAGTATTTCTTTTGGCAAATCATTCCTTTCATTCCTAAATTTTCAGGTTTGGCAAATGGCAGACAATATATACAACGAAGGAGAAGAAGAAACACCTGCTGAGCAACTGGAGCGATAATGTCTATCAATACATCGTCCTTTGCTTTCCATAACAAGCTTCCATTTACTTTACTGTATTCCGGTTACTATATAAGTTCAATTTTTTCAATCTGTGTAAATTTTACGGATACATTTGCAAGCATCTCAATTTGTGTAAGTAGGGGTACAGTGTAATTTTTCCTATGAAGTACATTGCAAAAGGTGGTTTGTGTGTTAATTTTTGGCATAAAGATGTTCACTTTGCAAATTTCAAAAAGGATGTACGGTAAGGACCTGATCATATTTATAAATTAGTTGTAACCCACAAGAGTCCTACTCTGCCTCAGTGCAAGTGCAGAATTACAAATGTAGAGATTCTCATAGACCGTAGATAGAACAATGAGTGAAGTTGAATTTTTGGCAGAAACACTGGTTTGCCGAAACAAATTTTTGTGAATGTGTCATATGCTGAGGTTGCACATTGCAACGTTTGCGTGTTCGATCGGGATTCGTCGGCCATTTCTCCCTGCTCTAGGTTTCGTACATCTAGTCATTGATTTCTCAAACGAAGTTGATCGTATCACTACATAGCTCCATGCTATTCCCCTGATGTCTATCCCTTTTTCAATTTTTTATACATCAAAACTGCGCATATGGAGAATGTGATCAATGTCGTGGTATCGGTTTGACGTTTCGTAGTTGATAATGCTGAACAAGAGCAAATTTCAAGAAGCTTATCCCAGCAGTAAAAAATGTTAATTATGTCCTCCAATTCAGTCACTTGAATATGGGAATTTGACAGCAAAATTGAGAGCGTTTACAACGCAAAATATCTTGACCACGGCTAAATGCTTTTGTGCATTTGCAGCCTGTAAGCCCAGTTCTAGTTCATTGTTGTCCATTGTTTATGCGTAATCACTTTGCGAAGCGAGCATCACCTATTGTTCTTACATAAAGAGGGTAGCTCCGAAGCAGTACAAAGTAATTCTCCAGAAGGGTGTTTCAGTGATTCACAGTTCGCGTCGTAATCTTTTCTTGGATGTTTCAAGTGTGATTTGATTCAAACAATATGTTGAAGGAATCAGATGCTAGGTCGACTGTGTGCTCCAAGTTGTTCGTTCTCAACTGCTCGAGTCATCTCTAGGAAACTCTCAGTTCCAGCTGAAAAGACCTTGGAAGCTGTAGCTACCAATGTGGAGAGAGATGTTCCCAAGACGGATATATCTGCGTTAGTAGATTTATATTCTGAATGACCAGCTACATTTAGGGGATGGAGGAAAATGTAATGTATGTACCTTTGTTTAGACTCAAGCCCCGCCACAGAGTAATAGCCGCGGGTGGGATGCCTCCATTAGAATTTGAATGGGAACGACAGCGAAGTGCCCAGATGGAGCGGTTTGGTATGTATGGGCTCAAAAGTGGCGTCGATCCCGGCATATGCTGGCCAACTGTTGAGGTTATTAATAGATTTGAGCTTGTTTCTATATCGATTGTTAAAATAACCAGCTTTTTTT